TATCGCCACCAAGTGCTATCGATTGCAGGTCTGTCGGTTGCGAGGAGATGGATAGAGTCAGAACCAGAATGTAACGACCAATACGACTTACAAACACAAAGTGGGTGGTGGTTCCAAAACAAATATTATGCGAGTGATGATTCGCGACGTTACATGATGAACGCGTGACGAACAGAAAGAGACGAGCAGAGCAGCAGTAGGCATCTCACCACCAACGTGTGCGTACTTCAGCGGCCACAAAGCAGCAGGACAGTTCGCTAATCAATTCTCACATGCTGGCAACGGCCAGGCCCAGCGCCATTACAGCCCAATCGAGCGTCTCTGCGGCAGCCTGGCCATGCTCTTCCAGACCAGGAGGAATGGTACCAAGACCCAACTTGGCTCAGCGAACAGGTCATCCTAGCGTCGAAAACATTTGTTGCTGATGATATGAACTTCACGATTCTGGGGAAGCAGCAAGGATGGACAGGGTTTACCTTGTTCATTTGTTCAGTGCATTATTAAGTCGACGGACATTGTTCCACTCCACGAGGAGTCTGCGAACTACTAGTTGGAACATTTCAGCGGCCTAGAGCCATCGGGACGGCCATCACTCAACTTGTTCTCAAGCAAGGTACGCCAATCACGCTCCATAGGAGCCTAACCCAAGCTATAAAATAATGACAGACGAATAATAACGATATGTAAGTGGTGACAATAATTACAGGTCAAGGTCGGTCAGCCCTACGGAGGCCAAGCTCTTCACCCCATAAATTCCGTTCATCCCATCCGACGTGCCATTTTCTTAGTTAAAGCGGATGCAATTTCCTCTCGAGCAGAGCTCTGTAAGCCCAGAGTTCATAGCTACACAGTGACTACGAATGAAAGTAAATGCAGGTTCCTGAAGGTATTGGGTCTCAGTCTAACTGAGCCAGCGTTCTCCCGGAATTAGCTTTACGTTGCAGCTCCAGGATGGTCATCTGAAGGAAATGTTCCACTTTTGTACATACTGGGACAAGCACTAGATATGGTAAAAGCAGCACGTTTCTAGCCATTAGGTGGCATTTAACTGTAAAAGACTGATCTAGGTAACAAGCTTTCACTGTTTAGTAAATATTGCAGCGGACGGGATCACTTACTTGTAGTACTTAAACTTGCCGAGAGGTGGCCGTACGGAGGGCGTTTAGGGATGAAAACAAGAATATAACATTAGCAATCCACCCATGCGATCCACCCATCCAAACCACTCATGTGATCCATCCATCCCATCCATCCATCCATCTTAATCCATCCAAATCCATCCAATCATTGTCTGACCCCGGCTCGCTGCTGCCGTCTGTGGCGATCATTTGGCGTGGCGCGGCGTGATGGCGTGATGGCGATGGCGTGATCATTTATTGGTTGATAATTTTGTTTTATTTAAAATGTCTAAAATATAATAATTCGCATGCCGTTATTCATCTTCGTTCTCATTATAATGTCCACATTTATCGCGGAGATTTGTCGCATGGTAAAAAGCCCTCACAAAAGTCTGTCTTGCATCATTCACCAAAAAAAAACCAGTCATTTCGCTACACGTATAACCAGAGAGGAATCATTATTGATCACATTACCATGACGTTCATTTAGCTGGACCTCGTACCATGGGTGCGTCATTTCCTTTGGGATGATGCATTTGGAACAGAAGCATCCCCCCCCCCCCCCCCGCCTGCCCAATTTTCTAGTAAGAAAGGCCCGTCCGCAGCTCATCCCGTAAAGCGCGCCTTTACAACGCACAAAAGCCAGCAGCTTCAGCAGAAGCAAATTTGACCGGCCTCAGGCCGGTGCAGCGGTGTTTCTGACGATGCTGGACCAGATGCAACCCTCTAAACTCGCAGACGTGGAAGCGACTATCTGATGACCTCCTGCAGCTTCTTCGTAAGAGCATTCAATCAACACGGTTCAGAGCAAAGCGCTTGTTTGAAGTGAAAACTCATGGAATTGGAAATTGTTTCTGTACAAGGCACAAAACACGGTGGGCAAAACACAAGGCAAACATATTTGCGTCGTCCATTCCTGGAGCCCTTTTTCAGAGAACATGATTCATGCATATGCGCGACGTCATCCGCGGCAGGGTGGGCACCGTGCTAACCTCGATGACCTTACAAGCTGCTTGCCCGACTGACCTCATTTTGAAGGTGCGCGCCCCAGCTGCCGTAGCCAGCAGCTGGTGGCCGAGACAGATGCCGAAGATGGGTTTAGGCTTCGTTTCGACACTCATCAGGTCACGCAGATTGGCCACCGTGTCAGCACACTTGACCGGGTCCCCTGAGACAACAGGTGTCATCACTCGCGGCAGGGTCAAGATCACGTAGATTCGGCATACTAGACAGAGTGGCCTTGAGCGATGGGGGTCACCACTCGGCGAGGGTCAGGGACACGCAGCTCGGCACACGTGGCCGAGTCGCCTGTGACGACAGGGGTCACTACGCACCAAGCGGGCCAAGGTCATGCAGACAGGTCTCGGCGGTCACTGTATCGGGTCATTGAAGGACGTCAGCGCCGAAAATAAAGACTTTTCTTTGTTAAACGTGCCAATGTAAGGGAAACTTGACCTAAGAACAATCACTTCGCCGAACAGACTTGGCGGGAAATCGATATTTGCTCCAGAGCATCATGAAGCATCGCCAATTGGACGTTTTTCAATCCAAAAATTATAACATTCCGGCCAAGATTTGAACTTTCCGCATCCGAATACTTCGTTCCAACTTTTAAGTAACCGAGCAGTTGATACTGTGATCAGCGTAACGGTCAAAGAACAGTCGGTGAGAGCGCATGGAGCTTTCCAAATTGCAGGAGTATTCCTAGTTGTAAGGAGCCTTAGGTGCTCGTAGACGACTTACCAGACCTCTCAGTGTTTTACAAAACCTAGCGGCAGGCTTACCGGATATATCAGCAACTTACAGGATACATCACCAGCCTACCGGATATATCAGGGTCTCATGGATATACCAGCAGCTCACAGAATCATTAGCAAATCACCAGATATCCAAAGCTTTCCGGATCCATCTGCAGCTTACTAGGCCCATCGAAACCTAATCAGCTCTACCAGCAACTGATCAGATCTATTGGCAGCTGACACGCTCCACTAGAAGCTAGTCAAATCCATCGGCAGTTTATCAGCTCTATCAGCAACTGGTCAGATCTACTGGCAGCTGACGCTCTCCACTAGCAGCTATTCAAATCCATCGGCAGTTTATTAGCTCTACCAGCAACTGGTCAGATCTATTGACACCTGACCGGCTCCACTAGCAGCTAGTCAAATCCATCAGCAGTTTGCCACGTCTATCAGCACATCGACATGGCCTGACAGCAGTTGACTGGACCTTCCAGCGGTGTGCTGGACCTACCAGTAGTGTATCAGACCTACCAGCAGTGTACCGGATCTACCAGCAGTATATCTGACCTACCACCAGTGAACCAGACCTACCAGCAATGTGCCAGACCCACTAGCAGCGTGCCGAACCTACCAGTAGTGTACCAGATCTACAAACAGTGTATCCGACCTACCACCAGTGGACCAAACCTACCAGCAATGTACCAGACCCACTAGCAGTGCGCCGGACCTACCAGCAAAGTACCAGACCCACTAGCAGTGTGCCGAACCTACCAGTAGTGTACCGGACCTACCAGCAGTCAACCTGACCTATCAGCAGTCGCCCGCACTTACCAATAGCCCACCGCGCGAGTCAGGAGCTACCGGATATCCTAGAAGCTTCATGGATCGGCAGCAGCCCCGCCCCTCTCGGTGTCTCGAAAGCGGGCCGCTCGCACCAGTGGCTTACCCGGCCCGTTGCTGACGAAGAACCCGTCGTACTTGGCCGGGTCCAGCCGCTGGTTCCAGGGCACCAGGTCGACTCGAGCGCCTCGCTTCAGCAGGCAGCGCAGCTGGTTGTACTTGAGGCCGCAGTCCACGGCGCAGATGTAGGGGGCGCCACCGGGGTTGTAGGATACCACCTCCTGTGGTGGGACGGTCTTGGTGAACAGGGCCCCGATGTAGGGAGCATCAGCGACCTGGTGTAGTGCGGTGCAGCCCTCTGTAGCGGGCACGAGTGGACTGAGTTCAGATGTAGGGGGCGCTAGTGGCAGCGTAGGAGCCGTTCGATGTGACCAGCGCTACACGCATCAGCTCATTAGGAGGGGCGTAACTGACACGACATAATGCTGAACCTTGTACTCATTTTAAATCATGACAGGCATATCTCTGGTTTACGAACATATTTCACTTACTGCTTGAGGGATGGCGCGATAAAACCGTGTAGTGAAGTCCTTAAGAGTCGTCTCGCCAAATTAGTCACTAACAGAACAAACCGTGGCCACATCTGTTGGTAAGACCGCGGGCGGAATGGTCTTTAACGTAACACGGCAAGAACAAAAGCGGTCCGTGAAACCATAGGCTTCTTAAAGCATTGGGGAGCATGCTTCTGTCTCTCCACAAAGAGCGCCGCCTGCCAGCCAGCGCTGCCTGCGGCCACGGCTGACCTGAACGGAGACCTCGGCCACCAGGTTACGGTCGCTCGGGTCATCCTGGGCCACGGCGTCCGGAGCCGTGCCGTCGGGCACGATCTTGCCCAGCATCGTGCCCTGCTTTCGCAGCTTCTTGGTTAGCTCGCGCGTGTCAATGCCCTGCGATGGGGAGGGGATGGCTGTTGTGTTGTCTGCAAGCTGGGTAACGACAAACACTCGTGCATGGCAGCTGCAACTGGAGCTGCAAAATGTCCGTTCTTTGAAACAGGTCTGGTCGTCCGCCCACTTCCACTACTCGGAGCTCCTCCTCACACTCATGGCAATGACGCACGCTATGAACACGAGTCGACGACCGCAGGCGCACTGACCCCGGTGTCCTGACCCAAGCTGACGTTTCCGTCCGCCGAGGCACCCGTACCCCCGACCCACGGAAGGTCCGACCCTGCTGCTCGGTCCAGCCGCGTGTCGTGAGGAGCAGCAGCCGCCGCCGCCGCACTGCCTCAGGCCCCGCGTACCGTGATGCCAGGCACGCCCTGCTCCAGCATCCACTGGTGGAGCGCGCGCCGGCTGTTCCAGTGGCTGGGCGCCTCGCAGAGTTCGCCCACCACCAGGCCGGCCGGCCAGATGCGGTCCGACTCGAAGTACCTGCCGGGCGCGGTCGTCAGACGTGCAGGCAGAGCGGGCCGGGGCGCCAGCACCGGCGGCCCAGGGTAACGCATGTAACAAACACCATAGGTACACGACCACGGACTTGGAATGACATCAGATATCAACAAAATGCAATTACGTTCATGACAATTTGAATGTCATAGCACAGGCGCGGGGCAAGATCAATCATCACCCAAGGCAAAACGTCATTTCAGTTGAAAGGGGCGGAAAAGTGTCGTCAGTTCGCTGGGAAGCGACGCCCGGCGTGTGGGCTCCCCACCTGGGTACGCCATGCTCATCCTTGTCGTCGCCAGGCACGCCATAGTTGCCGATGAGAGGGTAGGTGAGCAGCAGAATCTGAGCCCGGTATGAGGGATCCGTCAGCGACTCCGGGTAGCCGACCATGCCCGTCTGAAACACTGCCCGCCGGCAGATGGCGGCAGCGTTAGCCGAGGCGTGATCCATCACAGCCGCCACGCGGGGTGAGAGGCACGCTCGTCAGATACGCGCGCTCACATCTCACCGCGAATGGCCACCACACAATGGAGTGGCTCACACTCCGTGAGAACGTCCACCCCACGCATCGCCGAAACGAAAGGTGTCCACGCCTGCGCACGGGCTTCGCCAAAGCGACATCGGAGGGGTTTAGGAAGTTTCTTTCCACGCATGGTGCCCACGTGCGTGGTGATGCATTTCGCAAGTTGGTGGACTTACCTGTCGCCCATCTGGCCGGAGCCCATGCCCAGACGCTTGACGCTTCATTTCTTAACAAACGGACCATTTAAACGGACGGACCATTCACACATCCGCGATGCACCGGCGGGGCAAGTCTCGAAATATCCACGCAATTCCCCATGTCCTCAAATAGCCGCGTCCTTTCTTGGACGCATGCGTCCCTTTTTTCTTATTTCTATTATCACAATGATGGGCTTATTATAATCATACAAATAATGGGGTTATTCGGCCGTCACTGTAGTGAGTCGCGCTTATCATCTACCAATCCGGCAGAACCGTGTCGTCCGCTGGCTATGCTAGCGATATAGGCGTTCCTCGAACAAGCGGATCACGTTTTCACTGTGAATGGAAGTGCAGATAGCATGGGAATACTGCCCGAGTTCACGAACATAGCACGTAAATGATGGCAGAGGACTTCCACCACAGTAACAAAAGTCGAAAGCAGCCCGTGGTGTTTTCATTAGAAGAGCTTGATACACTGGGAAAATTATTCTGGAAGACGAAGGCGTCCATTGGCACGGCATCAGCCTGCACCACACCATCTTCACGGTCACGAGTTCAAACCCTTACACGGCTTGGCACCAGTCCCGCCGGAGGCTGCGTGCACAGGTAACCCAGACCCTCAGCCCCTCCAGAGACGGCAGCGGCGGACAGCACGGCTTCCAGACATAGCCGTCGCTGGGCCCTCAGGCTTCAGCTCCCAGGAACGCTGCACGGCCGGCGGCGGCTGGCTGCAGCCCCCTCCCCGGACCAGGGCTCAGTTCACGGAGGCCGCCTGGGACCGAGGATCAGGTTCTGCCACACGACGCCTGCCCGGCGGAACACGGCCAGGCGTCTTACTCAGGGGCGCAGCCAGAGCCTTAGTATGGAGGGGGGGGGGGGGGCACAGACTGACAAAGGGCCCTCTGTTACCCTGATAGTAAAAGGCCCTCCCCAGAATTGCCGAGTATGACCAGTTTTGCATTGACAATATGTTACATATATATCAAATTACACACTTTTACCCTCTCTAACTGGAATACAGGCCAGACGCCACCACAGGATTAATTCTGCCTTAAGTTTAAAGTGAATAAACTGATAAAATCATGCGTTACATGACTGCATGCAATAAAACGCCGGCATCATTCATGTTACCACGGTCCAGAGGACTCTTTTTAAACCCACAGAACTCAGAAACTTTGTTAAAATTTTATCTGCGTTGTACCGAAAAAATAAGGATTCCGCAAATGTAGATTAAAGATCAAAATGGGCCAACGATATGTATCAACATGGCCAGGCCATATTTATCTGGGAACCTTTAAAATTCAGTCAGAATTGATTAGTGGCACATATTATGCAACGTACTTTTGAGCATGCGCGGTTGGATAGCTTAAAACAAAAAAAACCGACGCCAGGCGCTGCAGTTTCCTCAGGCCGCGCAGCGCCGGCTCCGTGGCCCACACTAGACCGCAGCCAACAAGTGGACGAAAATAGTGACGCATCTGAAAGACGCATCTTTGAGCGCTATTGGACACCAAATCGTACATTTAGAGATATTTCGGGCGTATGTGTCACCTGTGCGGTTTTAAATGATGACAGTAACGTATTGGTATTTACAGCACCGCGAAGTAGTTGCTAGAATCTGGTTGTGAACCTGAAGGAGCAAAGGCAAAATTTATATTTGTCATGGTGCTGCAACTGTCAATCTGTCCTGAGAACATCCTCAGAGTTAAAGAAAATCGCCCAGTGTAATCATTAAACTGCACAAACTCATTTTTAAAGACATTCAGAAACTTGATCTTACTATGGTCATTGTCGCACGCTCAGCGCCCGCCCCTGGCGTTACCTGCAGTGGCTAACACCGTTTGGTTTTACGAAAACTGTCACCAAGCCATCGCTATCCTAGCTCCCCGAGACTACGGCCGCGTCAGTGGGGCTTTATGAAGCCCTCAGTTGCTTGGGCTATATGACGCCGCCAGTTTCTCACCTTGGCGGGAAAGGCGGGCACCGTGAGGAATCGAACCCCACACCTATGGTTTCCCAGGCGCGCAGTGGTTGCTACAGGCACATAAACCACTGTATACACTATCGGCACCCGACGCGCGGGCTAAGGTATTTTGATGGTATTTGTTTCGCTCGCAAATTCTGCAAAATATGGAACATTTTCAGAGAAACACGGGATGACCTTGGGTGTTTTGAACTCATTTCGACCCACTCCATTCAGCACTAACGAGAACCCGTATTTCATTCCGGTGAAGGGACCCTCTTGAGTATAACACTACCGGGCACATTATTGTTCCCGGTACACGGCTGAAGGGCCATTCTGTCCTACCGCGGAGTGTTTCTGGCCGTCATTCTGGCGACACGGGGCGGATGCCCTGGCCGATCCGGAGGCTCATAGAGGGATACATCATATCACGATAGCCCGCTCTCTGACGCGGCCCATATCGACTCAGGGGGTCCCCGATCGGAACAATGGGCTCTCTGATCGTTATTTGAGTGCCTGTTTTCGCAGGTCTGGATCCCTGAATAAGACTCCGTCCAGCCGTTTATGCTCTTAGACGCTTCAATCGGGCCCTTGATCGTCGGACCGGGTGGGCCCTCCAGGCTCTTGGGCCTCCTCAAACACTGCTTTTCGCCGACTCAGAGCCCTTTGACAATACAGGGCCCCCGTTAGGGGCCGTGGGACCTCGAGCAATGTAAATCGCTGGCTCTGGCTTCGTCCCTGCTTGAGAAATGGGCAGTTTTGGCCCAAGCCGCCGCGGAGCCGACTGTGCGTTAGAGATGGCGTCCGACCGAAGAATAGGCTCTTATATAGGCTCTCGACTCAGTGGACCCCTGATCTACGCGCAGGGCCATTTGACTGGCATCTGAGTGCCCGTCCCTACGGGCCGGGGTCCCTGAATGAGACCTCTGGCTTGCTTCTGGGCTCTTAATCGCAGGTTCCGAGGGGTCCCGAAAGTCCCCTCGGAACCTAAGAGGGAGGGGAGGGGGGGGGGGCACGTGCTCCCTGTGCCCTCTGCGTGCACTACTAGTCTTACTGTTGCTAAGCACCGAGCTCCCGGTCTTACTGTTGCTGAGCACCGGTGGTGGTGGCGCTGCCATATGTGCCAGATGCGTTAAAAGGCCATGAAGTCATTGTTTAAACTAGATGTTTTGGATATAGAGGTTACTGTACATGTCAAGCTATCGGTCCCTGAAATTATTTCTATATTTATATTTATTATCGATTTTTGGCATGTTTCCATGGTATTCTCAATACGTGTCATATCATAGGCGTTGTTCATTCCATTTTCTTTTTGTGAACTCAACAGCGTTTACATAGTGAGGGTGGAGAAGCCAGAATGGTATATTAATCCGCGGAACTCACAATTGGGTTATGCATGGTCCTTCGCTTCCGCCGGCTTACGTACGAACAAATCAACGTCAAGTCCCTGATACCACCCGCGTACAGGGTCTTTGATGTCGCCCATCATGAGGGTGACGTCATTTGCATGATGGAAGCCCACGCACTTCCACAAACCTGATATATTCTAGATTAGCGAGACCTGGCCGCCCTTGGCGATCGACTTAACATTCTCTGGCTACAAGAGAGACGAGATCACCCGAGCCGGGCTGGTCGCCGGGCTGGCTGGTCGTTGTTTACCGGAGTGGCTCCGTTTCAAGACTGTCTCAGTGCTGGAGGACGACTTATCTCTCGGGCTGCTCAGCCGCTTTGTTCACTCAGGAACTCTCAATCTTGACCGTACCAAAATCGCGTGGTCTAGAACGGTCCTATACCTGTTTACACGCCCAGTTCGGAATATCATGCGGCAATCGTTAATGTCTCCACGCATTCAACGACAAGAAAGATGCCGACAGAAAGGTGATTCAGATTAGGAGGCTGTGTTGTGCCCCATACGAAGTATTTGAACCTTGGCGTGGTTGTAAATAATAGAAAACGAAAATGAGCAACACAGCTTTGAATATTTTTCAGCTTGTAAGCGTTCTCTTGCCGTTAACTGAAGCACGGCATGGCAAGACAGTACCAATAGCCTGCTGCACCGTAGAATAACCAGGAGCATGGAAAGATACATGTCCATTCTCCAGGTTGTCCTACGAGGAATAAGACTATTCATACTATCTTATCCATCCTCACAACGCTCCTCCCAAATGTACGTTACAACTTACGTAGGCAAGAAGACATGCTCAAACGCGCACAACGGTTTGTTGCTCGGTGACGTGCTTTTACTTACACCAACACCATGTGTATAAAACAGTGCGAACTTGTTGCTCGGTGACAAGCTTTTACCTACACCAACACCATGCGTTTAAAAAAGTGCAAACTATGTACCTCTAAGCCGTCGCGCCATGCGCCAACTGCTCGCTTCTGTACCATGCCCGAGCCACGGTCGCACGTGCGTCAGGCGGCTGCAGCGGCTGAAGAACCCACGGTGCCTCGGCCAGCAGCCAGCATGTGTCTGACTACAACAGCCGCCCTCAGCTGTCTTCGCGGTCAGTGACATGCCCTGGGTCTTCCATCACAGGTGTCTATGAAGCTATATATGCAAAGCTTCAATACGATACCATAACTGCATGCGTTACAATTCGATATGATATATACGCTATATACGCACGCACGCACGCACGCACGCAAGCACGCACAAATGTGTTTGGGCACAAACGTGTTATATATATATATATATATATATATATATATATATATATATATATATATATATATAGATCTACACATTATGTGCGTTGCCCATTTACAACATTATTAACACAGACACCAAAGTCAGTACCGGGCAAGACCTTGTCAGGAATGCATCGGTGCTTCAAAGCTGGCACGAGACGACACCGGTGCCGGGTTCTTTGCTGACCTGCATCTCTAGTCATTGCATCACGCGCAGCGCTCAAACCGCAGCATGCAGCAAGCGCAGTATCTGCGCGACGCATCAGATCAATGTCGTCTGGGCGCGTACGACCACCGCGAACGTTGGCGCCCTGCACGCGCACGCGCGTGATGTGATGTGACGATGATGCGCGACGCGGCGCGCGCGATTATCTGTCTCTTCGGTGCATCGCTCATAACATAAAATGCAGATTTCGGCGCACACGACCGTCCCGTCACGGAGCTTGTAATGTCCGTCACTCGGAGGCCTCGACAAAGGAATCTCTCCTACATTGGCTCTGGAAACTCGACACCGCAGCAGTCACACACCGCGCTGATGGCGAGCGCGCCTCACCTATTTCGCCGGAAGTGGGCCGCAGCGCGCCGAACAGCTCGCCCTCGAAACGGCTGCCATCCTGCAGCAGCACTGCGCCCCTCATGGCGACAGGTCAGGTCAGACGCGCACCTGCGAGCTCTCCGGAGCGCCACACACGTGTCCAGTGACCGCGCGCCCCCTCCGACGCGGCGGCCGGGCCGGCCACGCGGTGGTCAGACAGGCACCGCCGCCGGGCGAGGGAGGCGCTGCAGCGCCGTGGAGGTGCCAGATCGCCTCCGCCGCGCCCACCGACGGCGGCAGGAACCCAGCAGCCCTGACCGACCACGACCGTGTGACCGAATGGGGGGGGGGGGGGGCAATAGGTACTTGAGGCACATAGCGTCACCATCGTGCACTCCAAATAGATTATTTCAATGCGATTTTCATTTCGCTGAGTTGCAATTGCACCTTGTAAACGTTTAAAGGGCATGGCTTGTTAGTGGCAGTGATACACACGCCATGGCACTAACATGCCGCGGTAGTCGAAGCCCAACTGTTTGCGAGTGAAGTGGGTTGATGACAGGAACGCAATCAGAAGTAGAAACCACCTCTGGAATCCATTGAGTCCGGGCTCCAGGCCGCAGTAACGCTGGGTTTTAATGGGATGGTGTCAGTGGACTTAAACCCCGGCAGCCCAGTCCGTGTGGTTACAACCCTGCCTGCTGGCCGTCGTCCCCGGCTGGCAACACGCCCGTTTGCATCTCACCGGAGGATGCCCGGCCCGGGCTGATCCTGCGGGCCACGTGCCTGCCTGCTACCGTTCAACGTCCGTTCATTCAAGACGCGCACTGGTTACACTCAAGGTCAGACCCCTCCCCCCTCCAGTGGCCGTCAACACTGGCGCAAACACGCACGCGTCTTGATGCAACAAAAACAGATAAAACACCACTGTTGCCAGGCGGGTCAGCGCACTAGGTCTTTGATCACCTTGGATGTGACGATCAGACTTGGAAAATGCAAGGCTGTGTGATGCTCGCGTACATTTCGACTGTTTCAGCCCTATCTTCGGAATCAGTCATCCCCACGACCTCAGCGCATGGCTCACAAGACGGCACAATTGTGCTAAAAATACTGGCCATCAATGACCCGCTGCTGCATAGTAGTAAGCATAAAGCACACACCTTCTAAGCGGTGGGGCAGGCATTGCGATGATTCTCAAGACAAATGCAACGACGCGATGGCGCAGACTTTCGCTCACATATGCGCTGGGTTGGGGTACACTACGAACACGAAGACAGACGCCGAGGACTGCTTTGCGCCGCGAAGATCATGCACGTAAATAAGCATTTATGCAGCTGTGCATTGTCGTTTGCTTTGTGCATTGTGCATTGTCGTTGTCATTGTCATTGCTTTGTGCCAGCTGTGCACTGTCGTCCCACACACTCATGACAGCAGCCAGACGTCAGGCTCCCACATTTCTGCCGGCCGCGACAAACCTGTTATCATGGATCTCCGAGGGGCCGGCGGGACGCGGCCGCGACGGGTTCACCCGGTTATGGAGACGTGCCCACGCGCCGCGACCGGCCTCTCAGACCCGCGCCGGTCCACGCTCGGCCGAGGCCGGGACCATTCGCCCGCTTTACCCCGGCCGGCCGCAACGCAGCGTCCGGGGGTGAGGTCACACGGGGGACCGGGTGCTGGCGGTCTGGGTCCGGTTGGCCCGGAGAAGGGCGAGGTCGAACATCCCTGCCAAGCACGGCAGCTGCGGATCGCGCCCCGGGGGGATGACGCCCCGCTGGTGTGAGACTGACCGGGAAGGGAGGGGGAGGGGCGAGCAAAGGTCATGGAAAAACCAGGAGCGGTTGATTGATTGAACCAGAAGACGCGGAAGGCTAATTTAGTCAGTCAGTGTCATCAACAACGCACGAAAGGCAGTGACACGTAGGATTCGTCACGACCGGGGCCAGCGCCAAGTTTGGAGGCGGGGAGGGGGAGGGGTGGGGGGCACGCCTCTAACTTTCCGTAATTTAACGTCGTTCGGCGAATGCACGGCACTCCACGGCAAGACAGGCGGAGCTGCACGGCGATTATTTTGCCTTACTTCTCTCCGCTGACGCTTAAACGACGGCGGAGCCCCCGATTCGAACGGAGGAGCACGCCAAAGACCCGGTGATACAGCCTTGTTAGAATGCATTGGGATGAAAGTTGGCGCTGGCATCGCAGACCCGAAGCCCCGAGAGTGAGCTGAGCCGGCTAGGCGCCTCTGGCGGATCCTAGATAGTGCTCAAGACAGCACAAGAGACAGAGCTGCTCTCTTTCCCTTTCAGCCAATCGGCACGTTTCTCGGCCAATCGGCACGTATAGTTTGCTCAGAACGTTTCTCCAGATAACTTTCCGCTGCCACTTTTCTCGTGACTGTAAGCGGAATAATCACCCTGGAAGATTCGACGCCTGGTGCCACCACCACTGTGGACGACCTTCGGACCCAGAGGTGTAGCGATTGTTGTCGGGGTGGGCTTACAGCAGCAGGCCTCCCCCTCCAGCGCTTCATTATGCGGTCACGGGGGTGCCAGGAGTCGATTTTTCATGCCGCCACACCCTGGCTCGAGGTCCACTGCCCGTTGACCTTCCACCGCTCCAAATCGGCGCCATCAACGAGCCGGACGGCGGTCAACTGAGCATCTAAGTGTCTCAGGATTGACACATGAGCCGAGCAGATCAGATGTCAGGGTTCGGGGTCAAAGGGCAACGGACCAGCGACAACAAATCGCGCGAGGCCGCCGGGAAACCAGGATACTGGTAGGATGAATATATATTTTTACATCCTGCACACACTGCTGGATATATCACTGAATGCTGTCCCCTCCCCCTCCCCCGACCAACATCTGAAGTGATGTTTTATCAACAAGACTACCACAAGTTCCAAGTGGCGTGTTCATCCAGAGACCTTCTGGTCCCCTTGACAGAAGGCACAACAAAGTCCACACACCAAGTCGGTCACCTCATCTTTATTGTACAAAATACGCGTCACGAAACGCAAACCTCAAGCCGGATCAAGGACCGTCATGGATCGGAAGATTACTTGCCCTGTATGAAATATGATGCTCATTTGCACGGCATGGTTATCTGCCCTCATTGCGAGGCAGAGCGGGGAGGCACCGCAGAGAATGCGACAGAAGGAAAATGACCCGCAGAGAGAGTAACGATAGTCAAAGATATAGTTGCCCACCACGAGCGCGCACATGTGGGCGAATAGAAGACGTTGACACCACTTGTCGTGAAAGGCTGGCAGTAACACATTGCGCTTAGCCGGTGACTCAAACAAAACCAACAAGCTGTGCAGCCCGCATGTCACGGCAGACCCGACGCACAAGACAGGCAAGTGCGCGTTAAGAAGTGCGCACGAGTGACGACCGTCATCGACGAATCACAGAACTGCAGCAGACGCCTTTATCGCATCGAGCGCACGGTTCTCACGCGCGGGACACAGCGAGCGCATGGCCGCAAATCCGCGCCGAGCCTCAAGCCAACGGCGCGCGCTCCCCCCACGCCGTCGTCATCACGCGCGTAGTGACTGGTGGCAGCGTTCTGTCCCCGGAGCAGCATCGACGTCCAGCGCCGGACCGGTCCTCACCGGGACCGCCGCGGGTCTGGTCCAGCACCCGGCCGCGGCCGGCGCGATCGCTGCGGCCACCTCTGGGTGTCATCCCGAGATGACGTCATCACGCTGGCAGGGCGACGACTTAACGCACGGAGACTGAACAAGAGCCGAGCGGTTACTTCTCCCTGTTTTGACGGCGCTTTGAACGGGGTAAAACGACTCTCAGACGGGGAATGACCCTAATGAGCTCCAGTGACGCGGCAAATCCCGGTAATGGTGCGATCTCATTACCTCACCCGCGCACATGTGCGCACCGCACCGCATGAGTGCCCCCTTCCCTGTCCCTCCCTCGATTGATAAGCAAACAACGGAGCGAGAGCTTGGAGCAAATTCACATCCTGCGACAAATCGGTTTCACAAACACGAGTGCCTTGATGGCAGGATGCTGAAATACCCCTGATACTGAGGCTCAACGCTGCCTCCACACACAGCAGTATTGAACAACCAGAGGAATATGTGATTACCGCGAGAGGTCCCATTAAATCACCACTGCTAGACCCACAGTGCCGCCAGCAGCCCTTGTCATGACCTGCCCAGCTTCCACCCTCTACTGGTGGACGGCGCCAAGCCATACACGCCAGACGCCGCGCCCAAAAGCGCCAAACTATAGGAAGGTGCGCCACGGACGCAGCGGAACCCGCAAAACCCCAGTGGCGAAGCAAGCCGACCGCATCATCTACAAGCGCCAATATAAAGCCTTCCAGACCGAGATCATAAATACCTGCCTACGCGGCTCACATACATGAAATGCATGGGTTCAGCTCACCCAACAGGGGGCAGAATGCGGGCTGGAATGGCATGTCACGTGGTCACAATTAAAACAATACAAGATCACGCGTCATTATCGTAACCGCGAAACACCGCGAGAGAACGACTCTTAAGCTCTAAAGCGTTTGGCTGGTATCACTCAATTGGCTCCAGTATAGCCTAAACATCTGGCAAGCAAAATCTACGCAACGTAGCACCTCATCTTGACCATGTCGTGTCTTCATAATCGGGCACGGAGGAAACGGAGACGTCGCTAAATGTTTCCAAAACATACCAGCAGCCGACCACGCATGAATGCACTGCATTCAAGGCGATAACAGTTACGTTTCTGCCACGATACGTCATCATCGGGCAGCCATATCCCTACAAAACTGCATCGGGCTCGCCCTCATAAACACGCGATACAAAACCACCCCTCCAACAGCGGCGTCGCGTCGCCGCGCAGCGTCCGCGCGCCGCATTCGCGCTTCGTCGGCCGGCCGCCGGGTGTCGCTACTGCAGCCGGCAGCAGCCGCCGCTCTCCTGCGGCGGCTCGGACGTCACGCCGCCGCCGGGCTCGGCGCTGACGAAGCGAAGCCGGCCGCCGTCGGGCGCCGCCTCGCCGACGTCGGCGCGCGGCGCGACCGGGTCGCCTGGCGGAAGCGGCGCCGGCGCGCCGGCCGCGGTCAGTGCCGGCCGCGTCTCGGCGCGCTGCT